AAATGAAAAAACCAAGCTCAATATGAAAAGCAATCACTAGGCTATTACAATAATAGTTCGATCACATATAAGCAAAAGAAAATCTTTCCCCACTCCATTTAATACTAATGAATGTTCATTCTTTTCTTAACGATACTTTTTGAAATAAATGGGTAAGAATCAATGGATATTAATTTTTTTTCCTTTATTGGATGCTCAAGTAATAATAGTATTTTATATGTTTATATTTATATTTATCTAAAATTTTAATTAGCTAGCTTAAACTTAGATCAACACCATGCCACTGGTTATTCTCAGGATGATTACCACGAGGTCACCTTAATTTTGAGGAGCCACAAGCCGAGTAAATAGAAATGTCAAACTGTGTCTCAAATGAAAGAGGGATTGGGTGACATAAGTCCTCACATCGTTCTCACGCAGCAATCTTTGTAAAGAAACACGATAGCTTCAATGTAGTGAAGTGAAAATCTAGAACAGTTAAACTAGGAACCATTGAATTTACATCATGTGAAACACTGGAGTCTTGGTGAAAAACTCGGTGATCACCAAGGCGAGGAAGCCAAGCATCGCGGTTCGCCCATTCCAGCGCTCCGCCATGGCTCTAAATGGCCCAAACGATCTGCTGTCCGGGCTCTCGCCCTTAAACATGGGCACCAGCGACGCGTACGCGAATAGCTGTGCCACCGCCAGAAAATGGAAAAGACCAGTGCTCCCCGGCGAGTAGAGCTGCTCCGCCACCGTTTGTCCCGTCAGTCGCTCCACTGCGAATGCCCACACCAATCCTACCATTGCCTGTTTGACAAGTTCACGTTAGTTACTTGGTTGATCTAGAAAAAAACGCGAAGAAAAATCACCAATCGCTTACCAGTCTTCCGTTGATCGTTTCCGGGCCGGCTCCATCGAACGCCATCAAGCTGGGGAACGATCGATCGCCAGTCTCTGGTCGCCTCTCGACCTCTGGCCTGGGATAGAAGGATCCGGACGATGGGACGGCTCCAAACACGGAGCGCTTCTCCGACTCGTTCTCGGCCTGGTTCTTGAGCACCTCCTCGCGGGTTATCTCCTTCTTGGTGCCGTCGAGAACGCCACTGATGCCGCCATCGCCACCATCCCTTGATTTGTTCGAGGACGCTCTTACTACTACTAGATTTCTTGTCCCGATGGAGCTTGTGGGAGATTGCGATTGGACATGGAGCTTGTTGGAGATGAGCGAGGAAGAAGAGAGAGCTGCGATACCGCTGCCTGTGACGAGTGCCATTGTTTTGAGCTGGGAGCTAGCTAGCAAAAAATTCAACTGTGCAATGAATTTACAATGAGCTCCTTTCTTTAAGCTTTTTTTCCAATTCTAGAATATTCTTTCTAAAGGGCACACAGATATTTATACGGTATGGGGACCGTACGTGGCAAAATTTAGATCCTGGCTCGTGTCCAGTATGTGTGGCACATCTTGTGCGGTGAAAATGGCCGAAGGTGAAACTTCTCTAGAGAATGCAAGGTGTGATACTTTGGGACTTTCGTTTTGTTTTGCAATCGAATTCGTACACGGGGATGCTCTCTTGTCTCCACAATAAGCGTGTTAATGTAATGCCGTTATGAGAGGCCGTCTGACGCATCAAACACGACTATCTCCCCTGTATCACGAGAAAGAAAAAAAGATGAGTTAAACAAGGTTAAAAAAAGATTTCGTGATCCACTTGAGAGCTAGTTATTTAGTGTGGATTTGGCTAAAAATACACATTTCAAAGGGATTCTCAGTATTGTTGTAATCACACATTCAAGTTCTACTACCATCTAGAGGAATTCCCTCTTTCTGATGATGTTATATATGCTCTAACTTCTCAAGATCAACCTTCTAAGTTACCTTCATTCAACAAGGATGCACTCAATTTGCTTGTGTTTGGAAAGACTAACTAGGATCACTGCAAAGACAAAGAAAACAAATGCACTTTCTAGTCCTCGTTCCTTATTTTGTGATGTAAAATGTTGGGAAAAAGTCCAATAATGGCAAGCTAACTCATTCTTGCAAACAATCACAAAAACTTTTGCTAATGAGTGCAAGTATAGAGCTGATTTGTTGGGAGTTGAGTAAACTTGATGTTAGGTGTTAAGCATCTTTACATGCACTTGGATTCTTTGCTTCTTTGCAAGCAACTAATTGGGAAGCTCCAGCTTCAACATCTTGGATTGCAAGTTTTTCATAAGAAACTACCATCACCTCTTGGCTCAATTGTCATCATGGAATTCCTTACACATAAAATGGTGTCAATGATATGCCAATGAAGCAAGGGTTGTAGAAGACTAAGAGAATCCATCCCACGGATTGCAACACAATAATGAACTTGATCAAATTGAAGATGCAAGTCTTTGTTGGCTGAATTGGCAACAATTCTTTTGGATTTGCCTATTAAATGCAGTGAGCAAAAACTATTGTTTGCCGGGGAGGAGTTGACAATGAGGGGAAAGCACTAAAAGATTTCCTTGGTGAGTTCATAGATGTTTTTGCATGAGACTACTTGGAGCTGAAAGGTATTTCATCAGACATTATTATCCACAATTGAAGCAAGCTCAAAGTCAACTCAATGAGCCATTGGTCAAAAAAAAAGTTCACAAGTTGATGAGGAAGGCACATGTATTCCTTTTCCCCCTTAAGGAATGCTTGGTGATCTACAAAATCAAACTTCTCTCTCGATTTTTTTTTGTCTCTTCTCTCTCTTTTTTTGTTCCTGGCATTCATGGAAGCTGATAAAGGATTGCAACACAGACATTTTCTAGAACACCAATGTAAAAATGCCAATTGAATGTTTTCTGTCAATTGTTCTGAGTACAAAAGGATTGTATGTAACACAGTGATTGGTACAAGACAGGAGGAGATATTTGCTATGGAAGAGGGGCTTGAGCAAGCCACATGAGATTTCTTTTAAAATCTGAGCCTAAGCTTTGTCAACAGGGACAACATCACTTTTCTGGTATATCCAAAAAGTGATTTTTATCACTGTTGATTGGATTAGATTTGTTTATTGAATGACAGCTTCAACCAGTTTGACAGATTCAACTTGGTACTACAAGCTATCAAGTATTTTTCAAAGTCATAGCCTGTTTATTCAAGATATATAGACATCTTTGGAGTCACCACAGCACCTGTTTAGGCACAGGACCATATTATAAAGCTTCCTGATGTTTTCTAAGCTAAGTGATAAGTTTACCTGGCACCATCACAGCACGACCATGGCTGATAATTAATTGCAGCTCACTAGGAGCTTGGTGGAGAGTAGTTGCAAGCTGTTTTGCCAAGGTGTTGTTGTGGAAGTAGTGCTGCAGAGATGACATGATGGTGCGATCCAATAAGGATGGTGTGCCAAGAGATGGCAAGAGATGGTGAGATGCTTGAACTTACATAGCTTCAAGCACCAGGTGGTTTTACAATTTAACTGCCTGCAGCTTCTTTGAGCTTGTACACAGGAAGAGCTATAGGATCAGTCATTGTCTTAAAGCTAGAAGGCAATGGAGGAACTTAATTGACTGTTGAACGGGCTACGACCAGGTTCTCCATGTTGAGCAGGCGGGAGTTATGCGTTCTTGACAATCTACATCCGAGAAGGAAAGAAAAAGCAGAAAACTAAAGATTGACTGGCAAAGGGAGAAAAAGAAACCCAACCGCCTCGACAATGAAAGTTCTCCGGTGTCATCGCATAAACGAGGTCGTTAGTAGTACTTATGAAAGACTTGCCTTACCATAGCTGGCAGCCAGTACATTGAGTGGTCCCACAAGCAGTCACACATTCAAGATTCATAAACAGAAGATGAGGTGATTTCAACTATAAAAACCATTATCAATCCAACACTCACCCACACCATGGCTAATCTTACTGTTCTCATCCTTTTCTCTGTCTTTGCCATCTTTTTTGTGTGCGCTGCAGGACTCACTCACTCAAACGAATGGTTCAATGGCAAAGATTCAGTTCCATTCGCACTCGAAAACTTCATCGCTTCTCCAGTTTCGCTGGATCTTGGTAGCAGCGGCTTCTGCAGTGCTGCTGGCATTCGGTGCAACGACACTGGCCTTTCACCCTGTTCCAACAAGCCTTACCGCCGAAGACTCCTCGATGCGGAGCTCGATGGCGCCCTGGTCTGCGACCCTGTTCGATCGATTCAGGTTGTCAACACTCGCCGCTTCTTCCATCTCAGTGAATTCACCCCGGGGTCTCTTTTCACGTTCCCAGCCTTCTACAATGCCCCAGCCACGCGATTCCTCGCTCATCCCCTCGCCGCGAAGATCTCATTGGACCCGCAGGAGCTTCCGGTCACCATGGCCACTCTCCATATTGTCAACGCCCCCGTCATGAAGCTCTTCATGGTGTCGACGCTCTCTGCGTGCGCGCATGCTCCATCTTCCATCGAGACCAAGAGATGCACGCCGAGCTTGAGAGAGCTCTCTAGCTTCGTTTCGGTAGCCCTGAACACCACGTCCCCGGTGGTTCGCGGCTCCAAAGGCACTTCCCACATGGATCAGCTGCTAGCCAACAAGCAAGTGCAAGTTCGCAAGCTGGCAGAAATCGTCCCGGTTTCAAAGCCTCACGTCGCGTGTCACAGGATGGCGTATCCTTTCATGCTGCACTACTGCCACATGGTACAAGGTACCCACGTTTTCTCTGTTACGGTTGCCGCCCACCATGATGATGAAGTCGAATACTTGCTGGAGTGTCACACCATCACGAAGTACATGAAGCTCGGCAATGCGATCCTCAACCAGCTGAGTCTCAAGCCAGGAGAAGGCGAGTTCTGCCACCTTGTTGAATCGTCCGCTCTCATCTTCACAAACTAAAAGTGACCAAGTGTTCTCTTGCTACCACTCTCATCAAACTGTGTTCTCTATATACGCTCTTGGCAATATATGCTGTAATGTTACATAGACACTAGGTCTCCATTTTTGTCCTATGAGGGCGAGGGGCAACACTCTTTGTGCGTGGAAAGGTTGGTTTTAAAAACTAGCAGCGCTAGCCATGGCGGCATCACCATTCTTCGTGGCCTCGGCATGGAGCGCCACTACTTTTCGTTGGCTGGATCCACTCTTTGCCACCGGGAACCGAAAGCCGCTCGAGCACTCCGACCTCGCATCTCTCGGCGAAGTGAATCTGGCGTCGGCGAGCTTGGACGCATTCCAGAGGCAAAGACGCCGCCGCTGCGGCCCGGCGATGATCTCTTCCAGTCGCGGGCTGTCTCTAGCTTGGGTGTTGATCCTGGCGCACTGGAAGCAAGTGATGGTGACGGGCGGCCTCTCGCTGCTGCTGCTTCTCGTCTCGTTCGTCGGCCCCCTCTTGATCGCCGACTTCGTGTCCCGGTCCCCGGCGGCCCGCGGATACGCACTCGCGGCCGCCTTCATGGCTGCTAAGCTCGCCACCAATCTCCTGGAGCGGCAGCACAACTTTCGCATCCAGGTGATGGACCTCTGCGTCCAGTCGTCGCTCAAGGGGTTTGTGTTCTGGAAGGCGATGGAGACGGGGGCGGCGGCGGCTCCATCCATCACCTTGGTGTCGTCGGACGTGCTCGAGGTGGGGGTCTTTTGCTGGCATCTCCATGACTTCTGGACGCTCCCGCTCCAGTTTATCATCGGGATTCTGGTGCTCTACAGGGACGTGGGAGTCGCGGCCCTGGCCAGCTTTGTGTCGCTGGGAGTTTGCATAGCGTGTAGCTTCCCGCTGGGAAAGAAGCAGGCAAGTTTCCAGGGGCGGGTCATGAAAACCAAAGGCGCTCGCCTGAGAGCTACGTCCGAGGCGCTGAGGAGCATGAGAACGCTCAAGCTCCACGGGTGGGAGACTAGCTTTCTCCGGGAGGTGGAGAAGCTTAGAGATGGCGAGTACCAGGAGCTTCAGCGGTGTTTCTTTGTGCGAGCGCTGTCCAAGTTCGTGTTTAGAGTCACGCCCACGGTGATGGCTGTCTTGACGCTAGTAATGTCCGTCGTCATCACCTCGTCTCGCCATAGCTTGACGTCCGGAAAGCTTCTCTCCACGCTCGCGGTGTTCCGGCTCCTCCAGAACGTCCAGAGCAAGCTCCCGGGGTTTGCTTCTTCGGTGGTGGATGTTTGGGTGTCGCTGGATCGGCTGTCAGAGTTTTACCAACGCGAGGACGTGACTTTCCAACCCAAGCAGCTCATGAGCGGTGGAAGAAACGCCATCGAGATAAGTCGAGGGGTGTTTAGCTGGGATAGAAATGCCGCCACCCCCACACTCGATGCCGTCACTTTGGACGTGGTGGAGGGAAGCTTTGTAGTCGTCTCTGGAGGAGTTGGATCGGGGAAGTCGAGCTTGCTCTCGTGCATCCTCGGCCAGATTCCAAAGCTTTCTGGAGAGGTACGTTTTCTTCAGTTCCTAGTTTTGTTCTCCTAGAAAAAACTGTTTTTGCTGTAGGTGCGAGTGAGAGGCACCACAAGCTACACTTGCCAATCAGCGTGGATCCAGAACGCGACCATCAAAGAGAACATACTCTTTGACAGCGCCATGGACAAGCCCAGGTACGAGAGGGTCATTGCGGCATGCCAGCTGAAGAAAGATCTAGAGATGCTAAGTCACGGCGACGGAACTCACATTGGAGATCGAGGAGTAAACCTGAGCGGAGGCCAGAAGCAACGGCTTCAGCTTGCAAGGGCCGTGTACAAAGACGCGGACATTTATCTCTTGGACGACCCCCTCAGCGCTCTGGACGTAAAAACCTCCAACTTGATACTCAAGGTACTCTTTTGTGTTCTTCTTATGGACATTACAAACATTTTCCTGATAGGAATGCATTCTCGGACTGCTGCAAAACAAGACAGTGTTGCTGGTAACTCATTTTCAAGAGGCTGCCAAGCAAGCAGATAAAACGATCGTAGGCCTCTTCTCTTATCAGACTTTCGCGTGCTTTCTTATCTTTGGTTCTCCAATTTCTACAGGTTCTACAGGAGGGAACAGTAAAGATACTTGATCATCTGGTCGACAAGGGCTTTCCACAGAGCTCTCTTGACAATTATGCAGCGACCGAGCAGAATCAAGGAGAGACAAGCATAGTTTCGTCCAAGCAAGAAGGAAAGCTGGCCGAGGAGACACAAAGAGGGAGCGTTAGCGGGAAGATATACTGGGTTTACATTACTTCTATATACGGAGGAGCCTTGGTTCCACTCATACTTGCTTTCGAGGCTATCCGCCAAGGCACAGACGCAGCTGCTACTTGGTGGATTGCCGACATGGATCCAAAGTTGGATAGCTCCCAGCTCGTCATGGTCTACTTTGTGTTGTCTCTCGGGAGCTCTCTGGCTCTTCTATGCCGGGTTTTACTCGTCTCCTTCGTGGGGCTCAAGACTGGACAGTGCTTCTTCCTCAAGCTGTATCGCTCCGTTTTCCTGGCAACCATGTCCTTCTTCGATCTCACTCCAGTGGGGCGCATTTTAACTCGAGTATGTATGTGGTTCTTTTACGTGTTTTAAGCTTACATGCAGAGTTTGGTTTACAGGCTTCCACAGATCAAAGCTCCATCGATCTTTACGTGCCGGAGAGATTCTCCGAGCTTGCATTGTTTGCGATGGATCTGCTCGTAATTCTCGTTGTGACGTGCAGTGTTGCTTGGCCGATTCTATGGGTGTTTATCTTCTTGGCTATCGTGGGATATAAGCTACAGGTAACATTGGCACTATTGTATGTTTTTTCATTGCTTGTGTGGTTTCTAACAGTCGTTTTACATCAAAACTATTCGCGAGCTGCCTAGACTTGTGGAGCTCCAACGCGCTTCCGTGGTTCATCACCTCGAAGAAACACTAACCGGTCTCTCCACGATCAAAGCCTTCAAACAAGAGCTGCCGTTTCTCAACAAGATGCTACAGCTGATCGATGACAACAACTGTCCCCAGTTTTACAACTTCTCCGCCATGGAATTCCTGGCCTTGAGAGTTGGCTTGGTTGCGGACATGGCTTTCGTCTTCCTCATGCTCTTCCTGGCCAGCATTCCGACCAGTGCAAGTAAAACTATAGTTTGAATCCTTCGCTCTTTTTCTCTTTCCTTTGTTTATGCTCAGTAAAATCTTTTGGCTTCACAGGCTCCGCAGGTGTTGCTGTCACGTATGGCTTGAAGCTAACTACAACTTTGACGTGGACTCTGTGGAGTCGAATTGACACCGAGAAGAGAATTATTTCTGTGGAACGCGTAATGCAATACGCTGGTTTACGTAGCGAGGCGAGAGATCAATCCCAGCCCCCTCAAACCTGGCCAGAAAATGGAGCTATAGACTTCATTGGTCTTAAGGTACGGAGTCCGATCTCTTGCCTTTTCTTTTTCTAAAAAAGACAAACCGAAGGTGAGATATACACCAGAGGCGCCTCTAGTTCTCCGGGGGATCACTTGCGGATTTTCGGGCGGAAGCAAAGTTGGAGTCGTAGGCCGCACAGGCAGTGGAAAATCGACACTGATTCAAGCACTCTTTCGAATTGTGGAGCCAAGCTCGGGTCGGATTTTGGTTGACGGGCTGGACATTACCACCGTCAACTTGCACAGCTTGAGATCCAGGCTGAGCATCATCCCGCAGGATCCAGTGGTGTTCGAGGGAAGTTTCAGGTACAACCTGGATCCAGTCGGCCAGTATTCGGATCACGAAATCTGGGAGGTAAACTTGTATACCACCTTGAACTTAGAAAATTCGTTTTTATCTTCTTTCTTAGGTGCTTCAAATGTGTGAGCTTGTGGCAACGATCACGGCCAAAGGGGAAGGTTTGGATTCCAAAGGTTAGTATTTCTTGCATTAAGCCTCCACTGATTATCTTGGTACGTAGTGTCTGGAAGTGGGGAGAATTGGAGCATGGGTGAAAAGCAGCTACTTTGTCTAGCAAGGATCATGCTCAAGAGAACAAAGATTGTGGTTCTAGACGAAGCGACTGCCACGATTGATGGCGCCACGGAGAGAATCATCCAAGAAAAAATAAACGAGCATTTTCAAAGCAGCACCGTCCTCACGGTGGCTCACAGGCTCTCCACCATCGTGCAAAACACAGAACGAGTTTTGGTTCTCCAAGACGGTAAACATCCAAAGCTTTATTCTCTTGGAACTCTTTCCTTAACTTCTTTCTCGTGATACAGGTGAGATAGTCGAGTTTGATGCACCGGGCGTTCTCTCGAGAAAACCTTCCTCGATATTTGCCAGTCTCTTGCGAGAGTATCAAGATCTCCGGCAAGCTTTCTAAGGGCATTACATTAACGCGATTAATCTAGCTTATTGTTTCAGACAAAAGACATAATCGTGTACGAATTCGATTGCAAAATAAAACGAAAGTTGCAGAGTATCACACCTGGCATTCTCTTACCTTCGGCCATTTTCAGCACAAGATAAGCGATACAGTGGACACGAGCCGATGATCCTCGCACCGTATAAATATCTGTCTGTCATTTGCCATAGTCATCTCAAACGTAGAAACACAGTAGCTCATTGTAAATTCACTGCACAGATGATTTTTTGCTAGGCAGCTCTCTCTTCTTCCTCAACAAGCTCCACCTCTTCGCAATCGCCCACGAGCTCCATCAGTTTGCGAAATCTAGCAGTACTGAGAGCGCCCTCGGATGGTGGCGATGGCGGCATCATCGGCGTTCTCGACAGCACCAAGAAGGAGATCACCCGCGAGGAGGAGCTCAAGAACCAGGCCAAGAACGAGTCGGAGAAGCACTCCGTGTTTGGAGCTGTGCCATCGTCCGGATCGCCCAATGCAAGGCCAGAGGTCGATCGAGAGGCGACCAGAGACTGGCGATGGATCAGATTGATGGCGTTCGATGGAGAAACGATCAACGGAAGACTGATAAGCGATTGTTGATTGTTCTTCTCGTGGATCAAGCAAGTAACGAACGTGAACTTGACAAACAGCCAATGATTGGGTTGGTGCGGAGCGCTGGAACGGGCGAACAGCAATGCTTGGCTTCCTCGCCTCGAGTTTTTCAATCAATTTTGCTCAAAACGTAATTGAACAACTTCATAATCACATAGTACGATACAGATAGCCCATCAAACCGTAGGACATACCCCAATCTTATTTCCTGGTCCACCATTTGCCGCCGCTTATGCCCATCCTGATTACGCCCGGGAGCTGCATACAATCTTGTGGACTGCGATTCTATAGAGAGTATCTTTGATCTAAAGATCTCCAAGGAATATTGATTTAATAAAAAACATTAGATCCGTAATTCCACCCAAGAAATCGCTGTTGAAACAAAGCAAGTACTCATGAAACCAATTATTACATATTGCTCCTAGAATAAAGTTCTTAACCTTTTTGAAATAAAAAAAAGCGTTTAAGACTTCGAGTGGAGTTCGCAGGCTAGCAGCAGCAGCAAGCACACTGACGCCGTCCTCGTCGCCATCGCCCCCGGCCATGGTGCTAAAGCACACATTCTAAAATCCCTAGATCCAACAAACAGGGGGCTGTGGAGCTTTGGTGAGAACCATGTGGATGTCGAGCTACATTGCGGAGAGCAGCCGGGATGTTGCCAAGGACATGGCCAAGGACTCCCTCCGAGCTTCAGCAGCGGCGATTCTCACGCCGGACACTGTCTTCCAGGGCAAGATCCGCAACCTGGTGAAGTCGGACCGCAGCAAATACAGCAAGATCAGGCGGTCCTCGCGCTCCTTCCTCCACAGGATCCTCTACTGCCAGTCAGGGATCTCGAATGAGATCTCCTCTTCCTCTTCCAGCAGCAGCAGCAGCAGCAGCGGCGGCCGAGGGATCAACCCCAAGTCCATCATCAACCACGAATTTCTTGTCATCGTGATGAAGATCCGGGGGAAGCGGCACATCTTCCTGGCTGAGAAGTGCGGATCCGGAGCGAACTGCGGCATCAACATCAGGGCCGTCAAGGACGAGCCGGAGGAGATGGGGGCTTTGGAGGAGGCGCAGGTGTCGGCATTCGACTGCGAGGACACTCCCATGAATCTGGAGGAGGTGCTCGCCATTCTCGAGGACCACGACCCCAACTACGCCGCCCAGGAGAACAACTGCTGGAAGTACGCAGTGCAGTCGACGCAGGGGCTCCTCATGGCGTGCCAGGCGGTGACCGGAAAGGCGCACTTCGGGGAGCAGGCCAAGCTGGTGGGAGCAAAGGTGACGGTGACCACGTCCGAGAAATGACTGCTAGAGGTCTCCAAATCCTGTTAAATGTGCTCAGTAGATGACTCAGATCCACCCCAACTCCCTCTTTTCATTCTCCCTTTGATCGAATTCTGCAAAAGCTTCGCAAATTCCCAAATCCCTGCTCCTATTC